ACCCGGCGAGGGGGAGTTGACTGTTGAATATGTCGGGACACTCAATGACCAAATGGCAGGCTTCTACCGATCTGGGTAGCTCTCTTCCTCCGTGATGCCTCATTGAGTAACTGCCTTGTAGATACGTTGATCAGTTTGGTAAGAAGCAATACATGTTGAGCACCCAGATGGAATCTATCGATGCTAGGAGAGCATTCCCGTGCATAGATGAACCCAATCGCAAGGCCGTGTTCCGAATCACCATCACCACTGATGCCGGCTTACAGGTTCTTTCCTTCCTAGGGTATTTCTGGAACATTTGGCTTAGCAGGTTCTCTCGAATATGCCGGAGGCGTCCCGCACTGTATTCAACGCTGGCTCGAATGAGAAGCCTGTGTCCTACCAGACGGTGGAGTTCATGCCATCTCCTAAGATGAGCTCATACTTGGTGGCCTTTTGCGTCGGACAATTCGAGTTCCTCCAAGACACCACAGATAAGGGAACACTGGTACGTACATGCACCAGCTGCTCAATATTAGAGGTTTGTGCTCACGTTATTAACATATGGTTATGCTCTGTGGATTCTGATACGTCAAAATTATTATTAGTACGAAGCTTAGCACCAGGGCTCCTCACATGGGAGCGATACCTTACTGTCGTTCCTAGAGCGTCGTTACGAGGCATTATGCCTCGGAATCCTAAGAACATCCTATGCCTCAGGCATAGGATGTTCGTGGCGATTCTGATGGGACTGCGTTGGGAGGTGATTGTATCTACACGGCCTTACTAGGTACGTGTATTGTGTACACCCGGGAAGCAGTCGCAGTGTGGATATGCCTTGGAGGTTGCCACAAGGGTCCTGACTTGGTAGTAGCAGAGAGTATTGATACCCTCGTACTATTGGTGATGTAGGTATGAAGGCTTCTTTGGTATTCCCTATCCCTTGCCGAAACTTGATCTTATAGCTGTTCCCGACTTCGCCATGGGTGCCATGGAGAACTGGGGTCTGGTCACATACAGAGAGATCGATCTCTTGTGCGATCCCGAGAAGGTAGCGAGGCTGTCTGCCGGTAAGAAGGAGTATTCATCCATGACAGCTTTCTACCAAGCGTCGCGCGCGCATCACTTCCACTGTTACCCACGAGTTGGCGCATCAGTGGTTCGGCAATCTTGTGACCATGGACTGGTGGGACGGCATCTGGCTCAATGAGAGCTTCGCGTCCTTCATGGAGAATCTCAGCGCTGATGCCCTCTACCCTGAGCTTGGGATGTGGAACACGTATAAAAGCGAGGGTGGCGAGTCCGGCCCTGATCGATGCATCTGCAGGTACATACACCAGTTCTTCGAGGGTGGCCTCCAGCTAGATGGGCTACGTTCTAGCCATCCCATTGTTGTACCTATCTACCATGCTGAGGAGGTCGATCAGGTAGTGTAAGGGTTAGCAGTATCAGTCCTCGAGGCATGGCTACTCTTAGGTGTTCGACCAAATATCCTATGAGAAGGGATCTGCAGTTGTAAGGCAGCTGTGGGCTGTCCTCGGAGCTGAGAAGTTCCAGGAGGGCGTCCGTCGATACATGCATGCTCACGAGTATGGCAATTCTGTAACGGAGGACTTATGGGACGCCTTGGAGAAGGTAGTTGATAATTCAATTGTCGTAGTGGAGGTTGACTTTGAGCTCGATATGGGTATGTTATACGGTGTTCCTTACTCATACGGCTTTTCCTCCAATATATATGTTGTGGATCAGCTTCTCGATTTCAGGTATCGGGCCAACCCGTGAAGGAGATGATGGATTCATGGACCGACCAGATGGGCTACCCTGTATTGGAGGTCGGCCCTCGTGACTCCAATGGTAACTGTAGAGTCTCACAAAGTTGGTTCCTATCTGATGGCTCGGTGAAGGAAGGGGATGAGAAAAAGAAGTGGGTGGTGCCGATCCTCGTTGGTGATGATAAGACGCCATCGGGGGAGATGGGCAGACTCACTATGATGCGTGAGAAGTCTGAGACCATCAATGTCGGTAACGGCAAATGGGCCCTCCTCAACTACGGTGCGTGGGTGCCCTATAGGGTCCATTATACTTCTGCTGAGGAATATGCTAAGATTCTATCCGGGGTCACTGACATGAGCATCCCAGTCCCGAACAGAGTCAACCTCTTGGGCGATATTTTCGCCCTCACCAAAGCCGGACGAGTTAGTCCTGAAGATGCTCCTCGAGTCTTGAAGGCGTACAGGAACGAAGTCGATGCCGACGTTTGGGATGCTCTTTCCAACCTCCTCGGTGGTCTGTCCACTATCTGTACCGGTCTGGGCCGGACTGCCGAGTTGGACAAGTTGGTGTCGGGTATGATAACTCCTCTGTTAGGGAAGGTGGGATGGGAAAGGAAGGCCGGGGAGACCCCAAAGGACCGTCAACTTCGGACTTGTCTGGCCGGCCTGGCCTCCCAGCACTGCTCGTCCGATGCGTCCCTCGCCGCTAAATGCGCTGAGATGACCCGTGGCTTCCTCGAGGACGCCGACTCTCTCGCTGAGGACGTCAGGGTGCCGGTCTTCCGACTGGCCTTGGCCGGCAGCGAGTCTTCAGTTGGGGAGGAGTTGTGGAAGGAGCTCATCAAAACGGCAGAGAAATATGAGACCCCCCAAGGGTGTAGGATGGACATCTATCTCAGCCTCGGGTATATCGCCAGCCCGGCCCTCAAGAAGCGCACTCTGGACATGTGCCTTACCAACTTCATCAAGCCACAAGACTTCTTCTACCCCATGGGGAGTGTTCGTATATCCACCCAAGATGCTGCTGAAATGACTTGGAAGTGGCTGTTGGACAACATCAAGGCTTGTCAAGCCCGTGTCGCCACCGCCAGCTCCTCTCTGCTAGCTGGTGTGATACTCAACTGCACTAGGCGCGGCTTTACGTATGAGATGGCGGACAGTGTTGAGAAGTTCGCCAAAGACAATGAGCTCACTTCGGTAAGTAACTCGTCATCTTAGTGGGATAATTGATGGAGCTGACTTATCGTTTTAGATCTCTCGGACCATCTCCCAAATCGCCGAGAATATCCGCTCTAATGCCACCATGGTAGAAAGAGCTAAGAAGAGCGCTACAGCTACTGCAGAATTCTGGACAGATCTGTGATGCTGCTGAGTTGGTCTTTCTCAGAGGCACTATAGGAAAGTTGAATTGTTGCTTTCCAGAGTGATGGACTCGTCTCTGATTACAGTTAACTGTGCGTCAGTGAATACACCTTGTGCTACCAAGTTTCTCAAGTGAACAATACCTTGGACTCGAGTTGGTCGCTATGATAGGGGAGACGAGAAGGAGGAGGAGGAGAGTTTCGTTTTTAGGAGGTTGTTTGATAATGTCAGTCTTGACTAGCCGAAACGTGTTGAGCCACCCAGCGATGGTTAGAGGTTTGCGGACGGTCCTTGCTGGTGCTGCACCTTGCAGGAGATTGACACCGTTCTTCGAGGCGGCGTGGAGCCAGCAGCTGGAAAGCTCGTGTAGCAGGATGATAAATTCAGTACGCCATGTATGTGATGTTATGGTTGGTTTTGCTAGCTCCTCGATGGTCTTGTGAGTGATGCAGTGCTTCAATTGTCGCCACACAATCGATTTTGGAGTAGAATGACCTCAGCTGGCTCATTGGTCGTGTCCGGTTTGAGGTGTATAAATGCAGGTATCGGCAGCTTGTCGTAACTCAACTATGGCAACTCCCTCGGTGTCACGCTATGTCCTTCCCGATAACATCGATATTCGTCAATACGACGTACACCTGAAGCCGAGCTTTGATACTTTCCGTTTCCAAGGTGAATCGAAGATATTCTTGGCTGTCACTAAACCGACTAAGGCCATCAAGCTCCATGCTAAGGAGCTTTCGATCGATCCGAACGTAGGTCCTGGCTAGGAAGAGAGATGCTATATGTTGCCTATCAGGTTATCTATACCCCATATGGTGGCTCGTCTATCACAGCTTCGTCAGTAAGCGTATCGAAGGCCGCGACGGAATGCACATTTGAGTTCTCCGAGGAGCTCCAACCCGGCGAGGGGGAGTTGACTGTTGAATATGTCGGGACACTCAATGACCAAATGGCAGGCTTCTACCGATCTGGGTAGCTCTCTTCCTCCGTGATGCCTCATTGAGTAACTCCCTTATAGATACGTTGATCAGTTTGGTAAGAAGCAATACATGTTGAGCACCCAGATGGAAGCCATCGATGCTAGGAGGGCATTCCCCTGTATCGATGAACCCGAACGCAAGGCCGTCTTCAAGATCACCATCACTACTGAAGCCAATCTACAAGTGAGTGCAGAATCGCCCTCCTTGTTGGGCATTGACGACGTCAACCTCTCAGGTCATCTCGAACATGCCCGAGTCCTCGAGGACTATTTTCCTCAGTGACCAGCGTGACAAGTCTGTGGCCTACCAGACGGTCTCCTTCATGCCGTCCCCGAAGATGAGCTCCTATCTCGTCGCTTTTTGCGTGGGAGAATTTGAGTTTGTCCAAGGCACCACTAAGAATGGCACACTCGTAGGGCAAAACTCTGTCAATTGGACCCTATCTTGGAGCTCTAGTTTATAGGTGCGTGTTTTGTGTACTCCAGGAAAGCAAGCTCAGTGCTCTTTCGCCCTGGATGTGGGCATCCGCTGTCTTCAATGGTAGCGCTCGGGCGGATCCTCGACTCATCATATGGTCTTCATATGTGGCAGGTATGAGGATTTCTTCGGGATTCACTACCCTCTGCCTAAGTTGGACATGATAGCTGTTCCCGACTTCGCCATGGGTGCCATGGAAAACTGGGGTCTGGTCACCTACCGGGAGATCGATCTGTTGTGTGATGCCGATAAAGTAGGGTGTGGTTGGGGGTGTTCGGGTTTGCAGGTGAACTTGTCTGTTATCAGGTGTCTGTGAATCGTCGTAGCCGTCTAGCGACCGTTGTGACCCACGAGCTGGCCCATCAGTGGTTCGGTAACCTGGTCACGATGGAGTGGTGGGATGGCATCTGGCTTAACGAGGGCTTCGCTACATTTATGCAGTACGCCTGCGCCGATGCTCTCTTCCCTGAGTGGGGTGTTTGGAACTCGTAAGAGAAGGAAG